TTTTTCATTCTTACTTTCGCTTACAAATCTTTATGCGAATGTGTATTTGCAACTTTTAAGCTTGAAAATATGTATCTGCGATGTTATCGTAATTCGATGATTCGCAGGTACTTTAGTTTTTACCAGAATATTATTTACTACTATATTTTAGAACTGCGATGATTTTGAACAGCTTTATTTTCGATGACAGTGTTTTATACCAAGATGGCCTATAGCTGCGATATTTTTTTCGTACCTTCTTTTTCCTGCGATGTTTTATAGTACGGTGTTTTCGACTTACATGTTTTTTTCTGCGGAATTTTCGTCCGCTATGTTTTCGTGGCAATATTTTCGACGGACCCTTCGAGAATGAACCCCATTTTCAAGAACCTGACGCAGCATTCTTAATTCACTTTGTTGTCAAAAAAAGTATGGTCTCAATATGCCATTAGGATATAAACCTCCCCAGACTGCTGCCGTTTGTAGTTAAAGAGGCTCAACAACGACAATTAAGCTATATCTAAGGCTCCATATCCGATAATTTATGGAATTGACATACCCATTCAACCTGAAGTATCATAATGAAAAAAATATCACCAGGGTCGAAACCAATGTCGATCATGTCGATTATGATATTGTTGAAATTCGTTCTTTTTTCGGCTAAACCGACCCGAAGGATTGTCCTACCTATATCTTGTAAGGGAAAATGTCAAGATTTTTGCGAGTTATTCTCCATGCTGTGGCTGAACTAAGTAATGTCAAGTATTGTTGAGACAAGTGCCAAGTTGACGATTCTTTGTTCCATTATTATTTAGCAGTGGTAATGGTTTCCCGCGTCCTTTTTGCCTTTGGTTTGGAGTGACGGTTTTCTTAAAGATCAATCACTGAGCTTTCTCATTTCAAACATGTCAATTAATTTCCGTGATGTGAGATTTGTGAGATTTTTTTTTAATATTATGCTCGATCTTTTTTCTTTTTATATAAAAATATTTAAATTATCAGCTGAATATAAATTTAAAATGCATGTTTCATTAACATAGTGTAAAATAAAGACAGTCATCGAGTTTTGCTTGACATTTGAAAAAAAAAATTAGATTAGCTGTTATATCTAAGATAAAGGATAAGTTGAGTTTAAAGTATACTACTAATCTTCCAGTTATACATAATTTTTAGAACCTTACTTATTTGATTTTAAAGAAAATACACGAAAATAAAAGGATAAACTAACAAGAGATAATTTCATACGCAACAAGTACAAAAGTCATGGTAAAAAGTAAACTGCGTTAAAATAGCAAACCAAGCCGTTTAGCTTTACACATAACAACTAAAAAGTCGAAATTATGTAAGTAGGTATCTTATTAGGAATTCTAATTTTCTGATTTTATACTTATCTCAAATTTTTCAGTTTTCAATTGTAGGCAATCAGTAATTAGGAACAGATTCTTTAAAATAGTTCTAAAATTTTCTGAATATAAAAATATTATAATTCGGTTAAAAGAAAAAAAAAGAAGTTATCTGGGAAAAAATCATGAAAGAATATACTATTTAATCTTTCTTGTGAAACGTCAACTATTACTAATCGAAAGCTGCATTTTTAGCCACAATAATGAGGATATTACACAACAGCCTTTAGATTAACCATGATTTTACGTTATCAGTGAATGACTTCCTCAGTATTACCACAGATAATTGAGTCAATACCTGAATGTTGAAATTAATACTAAATTAATGATACTGAATGTTATTTATTCTGAATATGACCACAAAATGATTCGCATTTGGAACTATGCCAAAGAGTCAGGTTGAGTGCGCGTTCGAAAAATCAGTGCTCAATGTGTCCTGCAATTTTCACCAAGTCGCCGCTGGGGCGTCTTCTGACCTGTGAGCCGAGTGATCCACGCGCCGCGTGATGTGTCCGGTGAGCAGTGGATCACTCGCTCCGGGTCGATGAAGAACGCAGCCACTGCGAGACTGGTGAAAATTGCAGGACACATTGCGCACTGATTTTTCGAACGCGCATCGCGGTCTTAAGTGATACCAGGACCTCGTGCTGAGGTCGGACAAACGAATGTTGCGATGTCATGTGAATAAGTGATACACGTCCTCGTTTTAAACACAAATACTGATATCATAATTAAATACACGTCTAAGTAGGAAACTCCCATCTAAAACTTGTAAATACGAGAACCGACAAAATGAAAAATAGACAGCCTTCCAGCTGCATTGCGAATCTGTGGTCTGATGTACAAGAATAAACTATTCTTTGGCAGGTTCCAAGGGAAAGAGTCAGTGAGTTTGTTCTGTTCCGGTGCACCGGAACACTACATAAATGTTGTTCAAAATTAACCACTCAAATTCGATATAACCCAGTCAGCACGCGTACGGAAGTTTCTTACACCTCTGACAAGAAATTTATTAAACGTGGCTACCTTCATTTTCTTTAAACTGAACTAAACCTGTTATAACTGTCTCATAAGTAGTATTCTTGGGGGGGGGAACGCCACAACAATGCTTCTTTATTTTCTACTTCCTTGGACAAAATTCTACTTCCTTGGATGTCTCGGTTAAGCATTCTTGTTAGTGTTTCACTTCATTCATTATTATTATTGTTTCATATATGTCATTATCTTAATGTTTCTTAATAGATATAAGAGAAAACGATCTTGGTATCTGCGCTACGAGATTATCACGCAAAGCCTTTGCTTGCATAGGTTCGAATTAATAAATACTCAATTAGGGGATGCATCTAAAGATGACATGTTGACAGAATTGGAATTGGAAGAACGTTGAAATAAATTTAAAAAGTAAAAGAAAGACAAAATTCCAGTATTTGGATTTCATGGAATTTTCTTGAGACTTTGATTAAAAAACTTATAGCATCTAGAATAAATTTTCTGTGATGTGCTTAGAGGCCATTTTATAACGTTTGATATACTATATACCTAATTATCATCCAACATTGAATTCTGTTTTTGTTCTCAACAGAAACTGTTTAAGAAAAAGAATAAATTATCAGTTCGATAATGTGAATATAAATATAATTTTTTTATGGGTTTATAGTTATATAAGTGATTTTCAATTTGTTAACCTTCCGATAACTCTTCCAAAATTGGGGGGGGGGACCTAACTTATTATCAAGACAAATAAATTAAAGACTTTATTTTCATTCATTTATTTATATTAGGATGAAAAATCAGTAGAAGTCGACATAATTGGACCAAGAGAAATTCCTCTGGACAGTGCTGGAGTCTATGTAATGGTGACACATTGCGCAGTAAGATCTGAAAATTTTACATTTGAGATCACAGGGCCCGAAGAAAAGGATATAGTAACAGTTGGAAACCTGGGTGTTAAAGGTGAGAATATCTCTATAAATTCTCTATATGAAGCTTTTTATGTTGCATTATAATATTTTTAGAAATTGTGTGAATGAGCAGGCAAACCTAAAATATCATCAAAAATCCGGAATTCACATCTTTTTTTAAAAGCAAGATAGCTCTAATTGCAATATATTATTTATTTAAAGCAAAGCATAACATTAATGCGAGGTAATAAAACTTAATAAAATTTTAAAAATGGAAATTCATTGATTTATATTGATTATTAGGTATGAGAACTCACTACAGTTTTTGCATGTAACGCAAAAACAAATTTAATTCATGCTGAAAATATTATTCTCGTTTCAGAGTTACTAATCGTTCCGAATTCAGAAAGGTAATTAATATATAATACTGAAATTACATTTAGATCGCTAGACTTAGAATATAGCATATAGAATTTTAAGCCTTAAATATTTCTTTTATAAGTTTAAGATATAATAAAAATACTACATTTAGTTTTATTTCAATAAAATCGCCTTATAGAAAAATGAATCTAATCCAAATTTCTTGTTTATTCTCTAACTCCTTTTGTATCGTTTTAAAATTGGTATGATTAGATATCACATAAAATGTTTTTATCCCACCAATTAAAGTGAAAGAATTGTTTTCATAAGCATTGTATTCCAAACAATATTAATAGTTCTGATTTTTATGCAACCTTCATTTTGCGTACTTTCATATTTAATATTCAGTGTAACTGGTCTATTTAAAGGTCAATGAAATGAAACAGGAGAACCCAAAGCACATTTCAAATTATAAATAATGTAATTTCATCTGCAAAAATATGAATTTATGTAGGAAAACAACATGGTTTGCATTTTTCTCTGAATCTTCCGAAAGCCACACATATTAAAAGAAAATAAGACAATGAGAAAGTTGTTTTTTAAAATTTAGATTATTGAATCTTTAGAGCAGGTCAGTTTTTGTTATTCTTTGTTAATTAATGGTGCTGCAGTATTTAATGGTTATCTAATTTGAGAAGAGATGCTTTCTCAGCTTTATTAAAAAGAGGTGCTTTCTCAGAAGACTTTCTTCAACAGGGAACTCCACTCTGAAAGATGCTAAGAGGAAGTTGCATAGAAAGGTCTTTCTTATGAGTACTAGAAAAGAAAAAAAATGGAACTAAAAACATTAATATCAAACCAGTTAAGAGTTGGTCAAGATATCATTTGGTAGATTCGGCAAGCAGAGAGCTCTGATTCCTCGATAGTGTTGGTTTCACAAGCATTGTTAACCAAATACTATCACCAGTGGCGTAGCTAGGGTGGGGCAAGGGGGAACATCTGTTCCCGGGCGCAGCATCCAAGGGGCGCCAAATTGATGCTACGAAATTTTTTAATGAAATTTTTTTATTCTTGCCGCACAGAAAGGGGCGTAAATTCTTTAGTTGTCTCCGGGCGCTGGAAACTCTAGCTACGCTTCTATCAAAGTGTTCTTTTTACACTCAGCTGATTTCATTTATATGCTGTCATGTCTCTTAATTATGATAAAGTTATATAATAAATATAAGTTACATAAATGTTTCTAGTTTAATATTTTCTATAAAATTAAAAAAAGCTAAGAGTGATCTTAACTAAATTTTTCTTTTGAAATTTATCTAAGATGTCTTTATTATTGGAATTTTATCTCCTCATTTGATGAGTATCTTCTGAATTCTCATACATTCATCTAGAACGATAATTTATGAAATTGAAAACTAAACTTAGATTTTTAATAGCTTTACATAAAAGCATATATTCGTTCAATTCATGCATCGTGTCTGGAAAGTCCTTATCCAGTTTTTGTTTTCTCAGCCGTTGGTTGTAGGCACAGGCTTCCAATTACAAAAATGTTTTAAATGGCGCAAATATTCATGTTTTGGCATTTTTAAATTTAAAGAAATCAGTATTACAAAACCTAACTTTATTATACTTTCTTGCGATCTCTATGCTTATATTTATGAAAATTTTGTACTTATTATGAAAATAAATACACAAAAATGTATATCAGTACAAAAAAGTGTCATTCTCGTACAATTAAAATTGACCGAGTTATCGGATGTTAAAATTAGAGATCGCATTCAAGGGCCACATACAAATTAAAGAGCAAAATGTTTGTATATGTACGCAACCAAAAATTAAGCGACAGTTTAGGAAAAAAGTTCTAATATTAAGAGATTAAGTGATTTAGAAAAGTATTGATCAATATAATTTTTTCAAAATGGAGATCTTACTTACGGATTCTTACAGAATTCATGTTCTAGAAAACATGAATACTTTGAAACAGGGTTGCGAAAATAAGGGCCACCTAAGGACCTTTATGGACACAGAGTACTTTGAAGCTTTCAGTAAACTTATGCATAATATTAAATTGTTTGTAAACAGGTAAAGCTATACGTTTCTTTTATGTGTAGAAACATGCTCTTTGAATTCAGTTTTCTGAAGCACAATAGGTTAAAAATTAGTTTTTATAAATAAAACTATTAAATGTTTTGGAGTGGAAGGAAGAACCCATAAGAGTTATCATTTAGCTATTTTTTGAAAATGTTCAGAATACACTTTGAATTTCTGTTTAAAGGTAACAATCTAAATGAAACATTGTCCGATAACAGAGCATTGAAACTATTGAAAGAATGCAGAGTTCTAGAGACTTGTATATTGCAGATGAAATAATTAAATATAAAATTTGGGCTTCTTTCAACGTCATTTGCTTCATATCCTTTCAACCATCTAGATTTTACTTACGAAGTGTTTTATTTTACATAGTAAAATGCTTTCTGTAAACATTTTATACATTTTTATCAACATTCGCATAAAAGAAGTATTTTTTACTCCTGCTTTATAACTACTAATAAATGCTTTTTACTTGAAAAATGCTGTCTTTCAGTCTCGCAAATTTTATTATTTCATTTAATTGACGTACTTACCAGCTCGACTAGTCTTGCCATTAAAGTTTTCTTTCTTCTGAATGCGCTTATATGGAAATGAATGCTAAAGCTCTCAGTGAGTAGATGATTAACAGAAATGAAAAATTAAATAGCTAAATTATATTATAATATTGCAATATCTAATGTCAATAACATTCCATAGAAACTTCAATGATTTATTTTCTTCGTTTCTAGGTGTTTAAACCTAATTTCGGATATTTAAGAACGGCTGAACTCAAAAATCAATAAAGAAACTGATACGGAATTAATGACAAAATTAATACTAAAAAATCACAACACCAGTGTGTGAAATAATCTTTTTCTTATCGCAAAACACTGATAACTTCAGGCTCTAAATTTAGCTGCTTGTTAGTCAATCGCCTGTTTCAAAAGGCAGATTGCTGGACATTAAAACTGCTACACCATAAAGGGAGCATGCAAAAACCGTCAAATTTGCATCAAAAGTTCTAATGTTGGGATATGCAAATGATTAGCATTAGTTTAATTTGGTTTATTTGATTTCGGCAAAGCGCTCGAAGGTTATCTCCTAAGGGAAGGGATGCTTTCGTGAAGGACTTTCTAAGGGAAACTAGTTTGTATAATACGTTACACATGGGGAAACAACCATGCAGCAAGCCTATTCGCGGGATTCGAACCTCGGACAAACTGGCACATTTCTGTTCAGGCCAGTAGCTGTGCCCTATCGTCGAGACCTGCGTGACGCTATCTTTCAACAACATAATGCACAATCGCATGTTGCTCATGCTGTTCTGACCTTCCTCGATATAGATGGTATTCGACTGTTGCTCTGGCCAGCACATCCTCCAAATCTCTTACCCTCTGAGAACATCTGACCATGGTTTGTCGAGAGACTGTCATTCCACCACTTTCCAACCATCACTATTGATGAACTTTGGAGTAGAGCTGAAGCCGCAGGAATTGAAGCACTCGCATCTGTCATCCAAGCTCTTCGTTTCAATGTCCAGCCTAGTTACAGTCGTTGCTGCTGCCAGAGGTGGTAGCTCTGTGTACTGAATTCTGCAAGCTGTGTACCCAAAACCACTTGCAAATTTAATCATGTTTTTCTTCTTTTATACTGTATATGTACAATAAATGAGTTTCTGGGTGACCAGAAAAATGCCCACCAAAAAAAAAAAAAAAAAAAAAAGAACAGCGTGAAAAAAAAAAAGCCCACCTAAAGATGCCAATAGAAAAGAGCTCACCGGATATGTCCTAAATATGCGACACGGCAGAAAGCTCACACAGATAATGCTCCATGGAACTAAGCTCACTGATAGATAAAATACATAGAAATATGCTTACAATCAATAATTAATCGATTTGAACATCGTACATCTACTTGAATTTTTCAAAGAAAAATTATTTAAATTACCAATATATATATATATCATAGATGTTTTGGTAATTTAAATATATATATCAGTCATGATGAAGCTTGGCATCAAAGTTCAGGCATTGCTTTTGCAGAGTGATAAGGCGAAATCCAAATGACGGGCAAGATTATTTAGCTTTTGATTACAAATCTTTATTCCACAGCTTTAATTCAATTTCAGAAGCAAATCACTATTCGTTATTAAATAAGATTATTTCAAATTTACTGCGTCATGCAGGAAAGGAAGATGGGAGCAGCAGCGTAGGTTTTAACAGCTCAGGGAGAGGGAAGCTTTGTCCGCGAAATGGCGCGCGTTCGTTATTTATAGTAGCGGTTACATAATAGGCTAAAATGTTCTCGAAGGTGCTGGTCTAGGGGGGTGATCCTAAATTGCTGTTAATTGGAGGTTGCATGTTTGCGTAGAGCAAAGCCATTGTATTTTTTTATATTTTACATATATATATTGTCAGGACTTGTGTTTCTCTTGCTTTGCTTTGGAAACATGATGTGTCCTGAATAGGAACAGGGAGCTTACCAATTTGTTCAAAATGTGTGAATAGACGACCAACTAAGGCTATACGAACCGATTTCTATCTTTACAGGTCTCCGAACTCGGGATACGGAGGACAACCCTTGTGATCTGAACGTAAGAATATAATACTATTACTAAAACTCGCA